GCCACCAGGGCTCAGGATGGCCATTTTACAGTGAGACATTGACAGAGCAGAAGCAACCTGACATGTTTATAGTATTGTGAGCAGTGTCCTGTGGCTTATAATTTTTTAAAATGATACTGTGAATTAAATCAGGATAGATTGTTCAGCTTGTAAAATTTCCTTGCTACATATAAAACTTGTATATTGAATCAAGCTATTATAAAAATGATATAGAATAAAAGACTTTCAGAAATAAAATGTTTTTGTAGTTCCATAGTGAGTCATAAAGTTAAATATCTCTAGAATGACATTCCAAATCTCTGTTCCAGATTGCCAGGGTTTCTGACTTTTTCTTAGCCCAGTGCTTTCACTCTCCTGCTTCGAAGATTTTATTTATACTTCGTACCATGAAAAATAGCCTGTCATTGCTTCGCTGCTAAACTTTGGCTCATGTTTCAGTATCTGTTTTTTCAGAAAGTTTTTTGCCTTTGTTAACGCAGGGTCACCAAGTGCATCTTGTTGTCCCTTAATTCAGTTTATAGAATGTCTACTTATGCAGTATTGTTGGCATCAGTCAACATGCCATAACAGCACCATAATCAGGGCCACTTAGCACAATAGAAATGCATTTTCCGGCACGTCTCAAGTGCAGTGTGCAGGTGCATGCTTGCAGCCTCTGCTACTTTCTTGTCCTTAGCTGTCCTTGGCTTGTAGGTACATCACTTTCACCTCTCTTTCCATCTCATAGGTTATTTTCGGTCTGTATGTGTATTTTTGTTTTGCACATGACCTCACATAGATGCCAGTCGTTGGATTTAGGGCCCGTGCCAATGCAGTCTGCCTCGTTTTAATGACATTTGCAAAGACCCTCTTTCCAAGTAAAGTCACACACGTTCCAGTAGGCATGAATGGAGGGGACCCAAGTGGCAGAGTGGCTAGTGTACCCAGCTACCAGCCCAGAGTTTGGTGGTTTGTACACACCTACTGACTGACAGACTGACTGGCCACCCGGTGGGAGAACCATGTTGCAGGTTTATTCTGAAAAGACTTACAGCCATAGAAGCCCTGTGGGTTCTGCTCTGCCTAATTCGGTCCTTAAGGTTTCAGAATTGACTCTGGGGCTGCGGGTTGGAGTTTTTCAGTTTAGTTTTGTTTTTCAATTCGGCATCGTGTCGAAAAGAAAAGAAGACTCCGCCATTGTTGTTGAGTCTGTTCCAACGTAGAGGTAGGTTCTTGAGGAGAGTGTAGAACTGCCCACGAAGCTTCTCCCACTGGAAACCGGTGCAGAAGCTGACTGCCAGGTGCTCCTCCTGTGACTCAACTAGTGCCGTTTCCCCGAAAATAAGACAGTGTCTTAGATTAGTTTTTGCTCCCAAAGAGGCGATAGGTCTTATTTTCAGGGGATGTCTTATTTTTCCATGAAGAACAATACGGTGACATTTACTGTTTTATTAAAAGAGACCTCGCACTTCCTGTCTGCTCTAGCTGCGCTGCGGCCAACAGTGAGCTGCAGTGGCGGCCCCCGCCGCTACGGTCCAGAATCCAGAGATATGGTAGTTGGGGGGCGCTTATTTTCGGGAAGGTCTTGTTTTTGGGGGGATGCTTATATTTCAGCGAGAGGCAAAACTAAGTAGGTCTTATTTTCGGGGGATGTCTTACTTTCGGGGAAACGGTAGATTTGAACCACCAGGCCAGCACTGAACCACTGTGCTCCAACCTAGTATACGTATGGTGAAGAAGGTATGGTAAAAGAACACTAGTAAGAGCAATAGTTATGTGCTCAGCTGCTAACCAAAAGGTTAATGGTTTGAACCTACCCATCATCTCCTTGGGAAAAAGACGTGGTGTTCAGTTACCTTAGAAACTACAGCCTAGAAATTCCTATGGGGCAATTCTACACGGTCACATGCCATCATTATGAGTTGAAATAGATTTAAAATAAATTTAACTGCACCCAATAACAACCCTGGTGGCGTAATGGGTTTACATGTTTGGCTGCTAAGCACAAGGTCGGCAGTTGGAAACCAGGAGCTGTTCCGTGGGAGAAAGACAAGGCTTTCTACTCCCGTGACGAATTAGTGTCAGAAACTGACAGAGGCAGTTCTACCCTGCCCTACAGAGTCTCAATAAGTTGGAATCAATTGATGGTAGTGAGTTTGTTTTTTTGGAATAACAACAATAGTTATGGTAACAATAGGTAGCATTTCTCATCATTGTTTCTGTTCTGTTTAATCTAGTAGATTACAAAGAGTCCTAGTAACTTTAGAAATAAGAGAATTTATAAAAAGAGTTTTGATACTATTATCTATGAAAACTTTGTTTTTTGCCAAATGGGGTTATAAGCTTCCTTCTACTAGGGGGAAAGTGCTATAAATTTATATATATTAGCTATCTTATAAGATTACATTGTCTGTTTTTCTCCTTTTTGTTTAGGACTGCAGCATTCAAGAAAAAATCGACTTAGAAATTCGAATGAGAGAAGGAATATGCAAACTCCTTTCTTTGAGCACTCAGAAAGACCAGGTTTTGCATGCAGTTAAGAACCTCATGGTATGCAATGCTCGAATAAAGGCGTACACATCCGAGCTACATACATTAGAAGAACAGATTGTAAATCAAACTGGAAAATGGTTAGTAACCTGGCTTATCTATGGGTTCTAATGGACTGAAGACGTTCAGTTAAAAACAAAATCTAACGTAACCTTACATACAAATGTCAAATCACCCAAGCTCTTGAAAAGTGAGTCTGCACAGCGCCGCGGAGACCAGGGCCCTTCTTTGACAGTGGAGCACAGAGTTATATTTGCCTTGGGTTTTGTTGTGTTCAGTAGTCTGTATTGTAAAATGCAAGTCATTAAGAAACAAAGAATGGGAAAAAAATATTTTAGGACAAAAGGACTAAGACTCCTAATTGAGTATAGAGAAATTTTAAATTAAAAAAAAAATCCTGATTATTTAGAGATCGCTCTGGCACCAGTGAAATGTTTCTTTAGACAGTACTGCCGATGGAGTGCCTGCAGTTCACCATTAGACTGTTGAAAGGTGAGGTAAACATTTGGGGCAGAAGAAGAGATTTCAGCAAAAGCAAAACTGATGGAGCTGTGATAAGAGACCCAGGTAAAAAGTGATCAATATCTATTGCCTTGGGATAGAAATCAAATAATGCCGTGTCTCAGTTCTTTCACCAGTACAGTGCAGATGGTCACATGTACATTTTGAAGTGGAAATGACATACATAACAGGCCAACAAAATGCCTTTTTCAGACTTAATACTCAACAAATGTCAAATAATCTTGATTATGATGTGTCCTGAGCATTGTAAAATCAAATTGTTGTAGTATCATAATCTGGGAAGATAATTTTTAGATAGACATTTATTAGTTGTAGTCAGTGCCTCTCAAAGTGGGTCACATCTGTCACTGGTGAGCGCTCAGGGAAAGCTGCGTCGCACAGTGGCACACGTGGCACTTTTCCCCCAGGGCTTCAGTGTTCAAGCTCAACGCGTGAGGGAGTGGAACGGTGGCGTCGTTTTGGGTGCTGCGTTCCCAGCACGGGATGTGTGCTCTTCGCTGACTTCAGCAGGGTGTTCTGTCAAGAAGGCTGTGTTCCAGTTGACAGTTTGAAAAGTTTTTCTAATAACCACTTGTCCTCCATATTAAATAGTCTTTAGGTATTTATTATGAATTATTGCTAAATAGCAAATAGTCTAAGATCACTTTCTTCATATTTTTATATTTAAGCTTTTTATGGTGAATTAGGTAGGAGTTTACATTTCAGATCATCATTTTGTGTTCACAACATGAACAACTTATCTAAACTCTGTTTTCTGCTCTTTGTACTATATTATCTTTTTCTTCATTCAAGTTAACGCCTGTCTACCCTCTAGATCTGTAGTATGGGAAACCCTAAGGAGCGGTTCTGTTCTTCCCTGTAGGCTCACTCTGAGTTGGAATTGACTCACTGGCAATAGGTTTGGGATGTGGGTATCATTCATGTAAAACTTTGCTTCCTTTAATTATTGCATTATATTTTAAAATCATGAATATTCTGCATAGTTTCCTTCACTTATATCTGTATAAACTGATGAAGTATAACTGGAGATTTTAGTGCTTGTCTTCCATATCACAGAAATATTATCTGAAGATTAATGAGTCTTATGATGCTTTTTTAATTTCTTGAAGAAAGTGATATAAATTATGCCATTCAATTAGTCAAATATTATCAGATCTCTACAGCTTGCAGGACACTTTGTAAGTAAGGCACCATGGTATTCAAATTTAAAGAACAGAATCTGTCAAATTATGAGAATATATGTGTATGTTTTCTAAGACTGCAGTAAAAAATACCTCAAGTATTGGTATCTCTAAAGAACTACATGGTTTAATATCAGGAAAGGTGTGTGGAAGGGTTATATCCTTTCACTATGTTTATTCTCTCAATCTGCATGCTGAGCAGGCAATTCAAGAAACTGGACTATATGAAGGCGACCTTGGCATCAGAATCGGAGGAAGGCTTATTAACAACCTGTGATGCGCAAATGACACCACCTTGCTTGCAGAAAGCGAAGAAGACGTGAAGTGCTTGCTGACGAAAAGCAAAGACGGCATCCTGGAGCATGGGCTGCAGCTCCGTGTAAAGAAGACCAAAAGAGACCAGTAGACAATATCACGATAAGTGGAGAAAAGATCCAAGTGGTCAGAGATTTTAGTTTACTTGGATCCACAATCAATAATTATGGAAACAGCCATCAAGAAATCAAACTATGTATTCCATTAGGCAGAACTGCTGCCCCAAGACCTCGTTAAAGTGGATGTCACTCTGAGGTATCTTCAGTCACCTCATATGCGTGTAAAAGTTGGGCGATAAGTAATGCTGACTGATGAACAATGGAGGCATCTGAAATACGGTATTGGTGAAAAATATTGAAAGTGCCACGGTCTGTTAGCAGAACAGTCCAATCTGTCTCGGAAGAAGCACAGAATGCTTCTGGAGGAGGATGGTGAGAGATCATGTCACATACTTCTGACATGTCAGCAGGAGAGAACATCATGCTCGATGAAGTAGAAGGAAGTGAAAGGAAAGGAAGACCTTCCATGATTTGATTTGACACAATGGCTACAACAGTGGACTTGTCAAACATAACAATTGTGAGCATGTTGCAAGATAGGGGAGTGTTGCCTTCTGATGTACATGAGTTGGAATCAACTCGATGGCACCTGATACAACCTAAGGACAAATTTGATTTCTCCCAATGTTGGAGAGTTGAAGTATGAACTGGTGGCATCAGAAACCTACACCCTTGCTCTGTTAGCTAAAGGGCCTATCCTTTTATCTTTTGGCTTCTATACCGTGGTCATCTCTTGGAATCCCATGCTGTCTGCCTTTATGCGTGATGCTACCTTTGTGTCTCTTATAAAATACAACCCAGAAGGAATTAAGGTTAAAACCCACCCTAGGCTAGTATGTCTTCATTTATTTAACTTATAACATCTGTAAAAAGTCTTATTTCTCTAAACAAAGTCATATCCACAGTGCAGAAATTAGTCCATCAGCATATTTGGGGGCTGACTGGAGTGGGGGAGCATAATTAAATCCATAACAATAGGTGTATTCAGGAAATATTTACCTTTAGAGATGAAACAGTCTGCTCCGTAACATAGTGATAATCTCTTAGAAAAAAATACTGTTTTAACTTTACTACTCGGTTTTAAAAATCTATTAGTGGTCTGGTTAAATAAGTAGCAGCTTACTGAGAATACTAATCTGTCTTCTTGAAATTTAGAAAACTGCTGTCTGGCCAACCAACTGGAAGAGACACATCCATTCCAAAGGGGAACCAGTGGAATGCAGAAATTATCTAAAATGCAGTTAATATATGAAAATAAAATTTTGCTAAAGACAATTTTCAAATTATTTCAGTGGTATATTGACGAGGAACTGCTACAAATCCAAGCTGACTTCCAAAGAGCATGTGGAACAAGAGCCAGCATTGCTGATGTCAGATGAAGCTGAGCTGAAAACAGTACCAGCAAGGTGTTTAAAAAACACTTTGGGTATATTGGCTATGCATTGGCATTTGACTGTGAATCAAATAAGTGTGGATAATATTGAGAGCAAGTCACTGTGTTCATGCAGAATCTACTCATAGACCAAAAGGCAGTCATTCGAATAGAGCAAGGAGATACTATATGGTTTAACAATTGGGAAAGCTGTGCATTAGCTTTGTATCCTTTCATCATACTTACTCAGTCCTTATGCTGAGCAACTAATAAGCTAGACTATCACAGAGACTTCAGAAATTTGTAGAAAAATGGAAATAAAATATAATTTTTCCATGACAGCATTTTTTAAACCCCCTTTTATGTGAAGAAGGATGCAGCATCAAGATGAGTGGAAGACATATTTAACAATGTACTTAGGACACAACCTTGCTTGCTAAAAGTGAACAGGACTTGAAGTACTTACTGATGAAGGTATAAGACTTTAACTTTCAATATGATTCACACTTCAGTGTAAAGAAAAAGAAATTCCTCACAGTTGGACAAATAAGCAATATCAAAATAAGCCAACAAGAGGAAAAAAGGATTGAAGTTGTCAAGAATTTAATTTGGGGGTCCACAGACAGTGCCCATAGAAGCAGCCATCAGGGAATCAAACGGTGTATGATATTGGCAGAGCTGCTGCAAACGACCTCTTTCAAGTTTTAAGAAGCAAAAATGTCACTTTGTGCACATGTGTGCCTCAGTCGGGCCATGGAATTTTCAGTCACCTCATATGCCTGGGAAACCTGGACAGTGTATAGAAGACCAAAGGACGAGTGATGTCTTTGAATCATAGTATGGGCAAAGAATATTCAGTATACCCAGTGCGCCTAGAAGAGCACAGTAAATCTGTCTTGGAGGAGGTAGAGCCTGCATGCTCATTGGAAGCAAAGATGGTGAGGATTCGCCTCCCCTTTGTAGGACTTGTTCTCAAGGTGGATCAGTCTCTAGGAAAGGATACCACGCTTATTAAAAAAAAGGGTCAGCGAAAAAGAGAGAGACCCTCAAGGAGAGGGAGTAAGATAGCAGCTATGACCCCGAGTGCGTCTAGAAGAATTGTGAGTTTGGCGCAGACCTGGCGTGATTCTTTCCGCCGTCCAGAGCATCACTGCGCCGGAACTCAGTCCAGAGCATCACTGCGCCGGAACTCAGCTCAGCGGAACCTGACCGCAGAAACATTAGTGAGTTGCTTGAATAAATAGCTATTTCATGAGAGCACTGATCTGCCTTTTAGAAAAACGATTGCAAGAAACTATTTTAAGTGTAGATTTGTCAAAGAAAATATGAAATGGTAAAACAGCATGGCTGAACAGAAAATTTCAAAGGACAGCTCAAGCAAACGAAGTAACACGATAATAAAATGTATAATGACCTTGAGCAGTGGTTCTCAACCTTCCTCATGCCGGGACCCTTTAGTACAGTTCCTCATGTGGTGGGGACCCCCACCCCCTGCAACCATAAAATGATTTTCATTGCTACTTCATCACTAAATTTGCTATTGTTATGAATCTGGACCCCCAAAGAGGTCGCGACCCACAGACTGAGAACCACTGACTTAGAGAGAGCAAGCCAAAAAGGGAGATCAAGCT